TGTGGGGACACGGCCGCCGCCAGCTGCACAGACACCCATGGACAGGCGGGCGCCTGCAGAACAGGGCATCCCTGGGACCGCTCTGCTGCGTACCCGCTCTGCAGGCACTTTGCGCCTGTAGTTCCGCCCGTTCTGCTTGGTGAAGCACAGCACACCGCCTTCTCCCCACCCTTCTGCGAAGCTTCAGGCTTCACCAACAGAGAAACACCGTAGTGAGCCCGATTCTTGCAAGTCATGGATCTCTTCCCACATGGATGTGGGAAGCTTTCTTGCCCTCCCTTTCAAACAGCATAACTGCAGGGAACCGGCACTGTGCGTGGGTGTGATCAGATACCCACCCCAGTATCTCCACGAAATAACAACTCCTTCAAGGTATGCTGCTGAGTTTGCAGAGCTTTTTATGTTCACACTCCTGGGGTTGTTTTAATGAGGCTGAAAATTTAAGAAACCGCTAGGGAAAAAACTCCAGGTTCAGATGAATTAAGGAAGGGAGCAAGACTTCTTGACACCACGGACACAGTGTCTGAATCTGCAGGCTAGAAATACAAACACAAAGCATAATGTTTTGCACTATTTCTGATTATAAATGCATTTAAATTGTTGCTTGGCACACTCACGATATTCCAGTACGTCATTCGTCTGTGAAGTTAAGGTCAAGGATATAGTGCTCTACAGCTGGGGAAGGAGGTGTCAGTAAAACATTTTTAAGCAGAACTGTTAGAAAAAGCCTATTTCTACTACACCTAAATTCAGCAGAGCACACCAGAGAAATTGTAAAGCAGGTGCATACATCATCAGCTCATTCCCTCTCCCCTGCACCAGATGGTGTAGTACTTTGTCAGTTTATTTGAAACCTGCCTCAAATGCTTTTGAAGGGTTTAAAAGTTCCATAACAGGAGAGAAAAGTTCTATTAGAGAAAGTATAGAGGAAACCCAACCTTGGCCAGTCTGTATCCAGCAGACCTGTCTTTGGGGAAATGTGAAGATGCGAGACTCTTCAGGGAGCAGAGAGAGAAACTGGGAGATGTATTCCCTCCTTTTCAGGAAGGGCAGGAGTACTTCATACTTGAAAAACTTGTTTTCCAGAAAAATACAACAGTATGTGCTAAGTGTCTGTTTGCACTGTATCCACTTTAACTCAACGTTGTTGAAATGAGCCAGTTGCAAGGCTGTAAAGTATTATCCTTAGGCGAGCTTTCAAACTAAAACATGTTGGATGAGCAAGAGCGAGGACTCATCAAATCCTCCTGAGTTTCCAGACAGCTTGAAGCAGGGATTTAGTATTAAAAAAGAGGAAGAGATTCAGTAATTCTCATAAAAATAACATTAGGACTTAAAAATAAGCTTCAGGTTTTTGAGTGGATGATGTGGCAATCTATGTACGCGCATCACAGGTTTGCTGACGCCGTACCCTTTCTGCAGAAGGCCAGGTACAACGCTTAACTCTCCGCCAGTCCCACTGAACCCTTCTGCTCCGTGTGAGCATGTTTTACCTGACATTCATAGCTGAGGGAAACGAAGTTGCATCACAGCTATGTTTACGTAAAGAAATACCAACAGGCACTGAAGCAACGTGAATAAATCCAAGTGGAGAGCTTCCTCGTAAAAGCATTTGCTTAGCCGCCCCCCACTCAGGACAAATCCATACATCCTCACGCACAGGTCCCAGAAAGACGCAGAAGATCTACACCAGCTTGGTACGCTGGTTTGCATTTGTTGGGTTGTTTGTTTGGGCTTTTGTTTTGGTGTTGTTTTTTTTTTTTTCTTCCTAATAGCAGCACATGAGAATCATGTTAAAACAGACACTGCTGGATGAAAAAAGTAATTTCGAAATACCTTCCAGATCTGTAGCACAATTATCAAACTGTTTAAATTCTTTTTATTATTTTTACAATTTTTTTTTGTCACGGTGGACTACAAAAAGTTTCTGAATTGCCTACAGGAGCAGTGAACAAATTACTGCTGAAAGAACCCTGATCCCACTGTTGTTCTTTTTAGCCATGGAGACAGAAATCATGCCTTTGTTAAGACCTACTCTAGTAAGAGATTTAGGCATTTTGATGTAATTCCGTGTAACACTAACACACACTGATTCACAGACAGACCAATATGAAACAATGTTGCTTTTTAAAATTATATCTGAATTCTCTTCTTTTAAGGAATAAGGTTACATTTTAAGACCTGTTTGGATCCATTCTATCTTGCTTAGCTTAAACAGGCAACTACTAACCAAACAACAAGAGCTGAAAGACAAATGCTGAATTTCTAGGAAAAAAAAAAATAGCTTTGTCCTGCTCCTGTACACCTCAGATACTATATTCTTCATAAAATGGAAGTTGCGATTACTGCAAGTACTTTGCCATTTGAATTAAGATGAAAAAGGAGTAACTGACCTGGGCCAGAAAAATACACCAAATTCAAATGCAACAGAATTGTATTGTTTAAATGGCATACATACCAACAGCGAAAATATTTACCTGCTAAACATCCATGTGCAATCACGGTTCAGAAAAGTCCTTCAGCACATAAGTGAGCCTATTAAAGTCAACTGACTGTTAGTGTGCCAAAGTAGGCTCCTGAATCAGAGCCTGCATTTTACAGTACGGTATTCACAGTGCCAGACTCTTGGTAACAGCATGTTCGCAATATATCCTGAAATGGTCTAACATCAAAAAAATAGAAGAGATACAGTACATAGTGACATATCTAAACCTTCAATGCAGAAAATGCTGTTTGTACAGGGGTCCTCCAACTTACCTGTGGCTTGGCAGAAGAGGAGAAAGGGTCCCCGGACACTAACATGCTGTGCCTGGTCACTTAGGAAAGGTGGCAACAACACGACCTTTACAGGGTCTGTGCTAGACCAGACATCAGGCTGGGTACTGGTGGGTGAAGGAGGTGAATCACTTCCCACACAGGACAAAAAGGAGGTACCAGTAGGAGGGAAAGGTATAGGAGATGAGGCTGTGTGACAGAAGAGGACAGAAAAGACAAAACAAAAAGAGGGTACTAAGGAAAAAGGTTGTAAGAAATACATCCCACACTGAAGAAATAATGCAAAAAGACAAATGAATTTTAGGAGGGTAGTAAGAGGAAGTGTCCCTAGGCCCTTAGAGAAGAGCGCTTTCCTCCTTCACTCATGTTTCTTTCACCTTCCAACCTCCCACCCAACCCCACCCCTGGTTATAACCCCTTGAAATAAAAATGAGATGAGAATCTGCTTCAAATTAATTACAAAAGCTTTCACTTTTCCCCTTGAAAGGAAACCACATGGAACATTAGTACTTGCAATGGGGAAAGCCGTGTCATTGTGTCAAGTTTCATAAAAGTCAAGATATAATACAATTTATTTTAATATTTATTCTGTTATATGTACATAATTAAAAATAGAAAAATAAAACCAAACTGAATCTTATAAAATATAAACTGTTTACACTAAGATGGTCTAAATTATGTCCACATGAAAGTTCAACATAGAAAAGCAGCCCAGGCATACTGCTGTTTACTGTTAAAATGTCCTCTACTTCTAGCAATATTTAGAGAAAGATGCAGTGAGAGAAACAACTCTTCATGACTGTACCGCACAAAATGCTTTTACAGACAAACAGTGCTGCTGTGAACCAGGCTGAGAACAAATGCACAACAAATTTCACGTTTGCAGGCATGATTCACATAAACAGTTCAAATGACTGGCTGATTGAGCAGCTCCAGTTTCAGTCTCCAGTTGCATAGGAGATTGGAAGGTGTCATCCAGAAAGGGTGACGCTGCAAAGATTTGTCACAAAAAGAAGCTGAGTTATTTCTGAATCTGGAAGAAAGAAAAAAAATCGGCAATGTTTTCTCATCAGGCTGTATCCTAACAGTCCATTCCAGCAAGTCGCTAGCTGAATTATTGTAGTTAATTCTTCTTGATTCCTGTTTCGCTTCCACAGTGCAAAAAAACCTCTCTTGTATCACTGCTAACTGACAGCTGCTTGCCTGTACCATTTCATTTAAAAAAAAAAAGAAAGAATCAGGAAACTAAAACAAATCCAGTTTTGTATAGAAAACAGAACGTGACTATGTCCAGCTTGCTGGTTGGGGGTGGGGGGAGAAAAGGAAAAGCATTCCTAAATCTGTTATTTCCTCCCTCCCCCCCTCACTTACTCCACGTTGTACTGATATTGTTGTACCTAAATTTCTAGAAAGCAGCAAAGAAAAAAGCCTTTAAATAAGATTGTCCCTGAGAGTCTTACACATATGAAGCCAATGCTATATCCCCATTATACCTTAAAATCTAAGATACTTAAAAAGCAGTTAAAAAAAATTAACCAACTAAAGAGACCTAGTGTGCCAAAACACAAAGCATAAAACTAATCACTAGAAGCAAAGAAAAAAACGTGTCCCAATCTGGACAAAAGTCTATAATTTACCAATCTGATAAACTAAACTTAATTTCCAATTTGGAATTAAAATGAAACTAGGTCTTTTTTTAATGGCAGCTAAAAATGTGTAGACTGAAGTACTTCTTAAAGCCAACTGAATTAGAAAGTTACTTTTATCCTATAAGAACTGGGCTGAAGAACAAGCAAGGAACTGTTCACCAGAGCGAAGCGCTCGGTGGGGGAAAAAAAAAAAAAAAAAAAAAGAAGAGGAAGAAGAAGAAAAAGACAGTACAACACAGGATGCTATGGTCTGCAGACAAGAACACCGCTTCTCTAATCTGGCGAGATCTGAATGCAAATTGGCTTTCTGTACAGCTTAAGCACGTCAACCCCGCTATAGCTCAGCTGTCACACCCAGGCTCTCCGTGCTCAGGCACCCAGCCACAGGACCACAGCTGATTTCCACCACCGACACAGACGACCGGGTCCTTCAGTCCCCCTCCGCATCCGAGTCAGCATACTTGAGCTCACACTTGACATCGAAGGGCTTGTCCCTGCCCTCCCGGGACGCCTGCGGATCCCCAGGCTGCAGCTGGCCATTCCCACAGTCGGGCTCAGTCTCGTAGCCGGTGTCGTGCGCCGGCTTTGGTGGCTCCCCGCTCTGGTGGCTGACGCTGCCTTGCTCCACCAGCGTCTCCTTCACGCTTTGCTCGCAATCAGAAAAATCTGACTTCGTTTTCTTCTTACCAAGCAGCAAAACTGAGCGAAATTTCAAGCACTGCCCTGGCAAGTACCCTTTGTAGCAGTTGTAGGAGAGCAGGCACAAGAATAGAATAAAAAAGAAGAGGAAGAGGAACATCAACAGGAAGTTATCGTTTGACTTGAGGAACATCGTCTTCTCTGGGACCGCGTCCGGAACTGAATTGAAGAGCTCCGTGTTGGATGCTGCGCTTGTCAGCACGGGGCCGAGGGGCTTTGTTACTATCCTTGCTGTCGTTACTGGTACCATCTGAGTGGTCGGGGAGCGAGCAGTAGACCCCGCGGTTGACATGGCTGACGCTTTTGGCGCATCGCTATTACCTTCTGTTGGTGCAGCTGCCGTGGTGGGGCCCACTGTGGTATGCTGGATCTTCTTCAGTTCCAAAACATGCTTAGCCAGCACTTGAGAAAATTTCTTATTCTTCACTTTTTCTTCTGACAAGCACTGGTAAACACCGCTGTCTCCTTCTGATAAATTGAAGATGAGCAGGGCCTTTTCCAGCAGACGGTACTTGGGGCTCTCCACTCTCAACACATCGTCTTTGAACTTCCAAACTACCTGGGCCAGATTGGACTTTTGAGAACACTTGAGTTCTGCTGTGCTCCCATGCTTGAATGTATGCTGTAGGGAATTCTCTCTTACTTTATCTGGAACATCAAAATAAATTTGCAGAGTGTCAGCAATGATTCCCGTTCGCTCTAATCCGTACAGTTTCACGAGACTGCTATAGTCTTAACAGAAACGTAAAGATTACGGCATTCAGGCTAACTCACAAGACCAAGATGACAGCATGCAAGAACCTCAGCGAAATACCAAGCTACAGCTGCGTGCGAGACATCAAGACAGACTAAGAGACAGGACACCTCAAACTCTACGACAGCCCCCACTTCTAGATAAAGAAGAGACCTTGTTGATCCACAACTGAGTATGCATCTGAGGCCAGTCACTGTTTTGAGACAAGATGCTGAACTTGGTATCACTTTATATGTCATTAGTGCATTTTAAGTGAACCAGCAACTACAGAATATCCAGGAAGAGACTGAACAAAGCGCTGCTACTCAGCTCAAACTACCTTCTGAAAAAATATCAGCACTTTTAGCACACCCATAATGCAACACCATGAACTAATGAAAAAGCTAGCAAGCAAACTCTCATGGTGATCCACGCTTTGCTTGGATTAGAAATAAAATGGAGTAAATCAAACTCTTCAGAGCTTTGTTTACTGCAGTACAAGTCTGCCATAACACTACTCTTCTTTAAGATCTCCTTGATGGGGTGGCAGCAGCATGCACTGTGAAGATGGGGCCTGTGTTTACTTGCCTTAAAGCACTATGGAGGGTACTTCAGCTGCTCTGTAGACGTTCTGAGTCCCCCTCCCCTCCCACCATAAAACCAGCTTTTTTCAGGATCATTTAATCTGATCCAGCAGCAATAACCAAGCACTTATCAAGGCTCACAGTAGAATGTCAAATGCTGTAACACAGAGACCGAGGCCTCTGCACTAGAAGTACTTATGGTAAACACTGCTTTCATTCAGAAGTCACTCTTGAGGTGCCCCGTTCATTTCAGAGGTTTGTGCACTGCACACTGAAATGTATACAAATACAGACATTGTAAGACAACATGCAGGCTGTACAGATGCTCAAATATTTGAAAGCAGAATCTCATACCTATTAAAATATAAACAAATGTCCAGATAGTCACAAAAAACAAGCCGAACTAAACACAACTCTTTCACTACTCCACCTAGCCATGTGAAATACCTCTCCAACCACTCACTCACCAGAACAAGAGGACGCATCTCCACCTATGTTCTGAATCCAGTTCCTGTAAAAGGAAGTCCAAGCATTACATCTTCAAATCTTGTTTCCTACACCCTGCCCATCCTTTCATACCAAGCAAGATTCATCTTATCCGAGTAACACAAGCAGACAGAAATGGATAGGAAGAAGTCTGCATTTGAAAACATTCAGTTAAAAATTGCTAGTTATCACTAAGGGGCAAGACTGATGCTATACTGATTGTGACTGTAAGGTAATCAAAGACTACTATTACCTTCCAGTTTCAGTTTCTTTAAAAATATCAATGCAGGAAGCTTCAAGGGGTTTCCAAGCACAGTAAGGGTCCCTTGCTAAAACACAGTCAACACAAGTGGTGTACTTGTCACAGAACGCTAATGGAGACTGAACCACACCAGAGTTTGAACCAGCATAGAGGTATCTTCTCCCCTAAAAAAACAAGCACAACAAAAAAACCACAGCCAATCACTTTCTTAAAGCCAAACAATCCAATTCATGAAACAATTTAAAAATTATTAAGAGTAAAGAGTTGCATACATACAACCATGTTTGTAAAAACTGGAGCATGAGGGGAATAAGCATTTTGATAAGCTTCTATTTCTAGGAATAAAAGGAAACTTATCTTGAAACTAGTCAGTGATGCTAGAAGTGCAAAAAGGCAAAAGACCAAAAATCTGAAACAGAATCACAGAATACCAGGTTGGAAGGCTCCTCAACGATCAGCTGGTCCAACCTTTCTTGGCAAAAGCACATTCTAGACAAGATGGCCCAAGCACCCTCGTCCAGCCAGACCGTAAAAGTGTTCAATGTTGGGGAATCCATCGCTCCCCTGGGTAGATTATTCCAATGGCCGATTGCTCTCACTGTGAAAAATTTTCCTCCTGTCTACTTGGAATCTCCCTAAGAGTGACTTGTACCTACTACTTCTCGTCTTTTCCATCTGACTGCTTGTAAAGAAGAGAGTCTCCATCTTTGTAGCCACCCTTTAAATATCAGAAAATGGTGATAAAGCCCCCCCATGCCTTCTTTTCTCAAGGCTGAACAAGTTCCCTCAGCCTTTCCTCATATGGCAGGCTTCCCAGATACAGTTTATGAGAATGAAAAGTAACCATGTCTAACTATGGCTTTATCACACAGTTTTTCTACAAATACAAATGCACTGACAGTCCTCGTACGAGGCAAGGCAACCCTGTGCTGATAACAAGGCTGCAGCAGGCACACACAAGCCTGAACAAGCAAGACTTGCTGTTTGCAGGACCTGCTCCTGCTAACCCAAAGCAGCCCTACTGCCCTCAGTTTGTCTACCAGTCAGGTCTCACACCAGCGCCAGCCTTACAAGAGTCAAATGCAGCTGCGTACTTGCTGCTCAAGGAGGAACAGTGGGTAGTATTCAAACGAAACAGCACTGGCATGACACCTAGGGAAAGGGGGATAAAAACAGAACGATTGTTTGACCCACTGTTGCTGGGGATCCCAAACAAATCTCACTCTGAGCACAGCAGGAAAAGACCACACTTATCACGAATATCCTGCTCACAAAGGTGGGCAGCTGCTGTATTTCACTCCTCTGTTTCAAAGGCAGGGAAACAGATGGCTAAAGGTACACTGCGAATTTATATATTATTATGCAAAGCCTCAAGAAACGGGGCTGTGCTGCAACCCAAAACCACCAGCGACCGACCCTCTGGTCACTTTGAGAGGCTATGCACACAAAGCCAAACAGCACACCTCACCTTGGCAGTGGGTTGGCTTCATCCTGAGCAGAATACCGAGTGGATTTATCAGCACCCTACTGCAGTTGTCATGGCAAATGCGCCAGACCAAGCACAGGGTGGCTTTTCCTGTACTGCAGCCGTACAGACCTCAGTATGTAGAAATGTGCTCGGGGCTTGTGTCTCCAGCGAGACTGCTTGACTCCAGCAGGATGAAAATGGTCACAAAGTGATGGGCAGATATTGAAGAAGACTTCTAGTAGAGAAGTGTTCTTCAAAAACCTCATTGTTCTGGTGCAGACTTTTGATCTTGACATCAGAAACAGCCTCAAGAAAACAACCTGCATGGCATCTTAGGGCTGCTTTTAGGTTTTGGGGCTCACCGTCACTCTTTCACGAAGGATGCAAGGAGGTTTTGCCGTAAGAACTCGGAACAGGTTAGTCTCTTTCATGCAATGATCATGAGGAAGTAGGTCTTAAAATTAAGCTAATGAACGATGCACGCTGACTGACAGCAGCCTCTAGAGGAAGCTACAAGACCAACCACAGATCAGGTTGGATTCGTCTCATATATGCAGCATGCCGATAGCTTTCAAGGCAACTCCTGACACTGGAAGATGAAAGACAAAACTGGATCAAAGAAGAACCTGCTGTCACTACTGGAGGATGGACTTTGAAAATGAATCAAACTTCAGAGACATACACTCAAAAGCAGTCTTTCATCCTGAAATTTAACTTAGGTTAGTGTCGTACTATGCTGGAGCACCCACAGAAGAAAGTCTGCAGTGCTGGAGACGTATGACTTTCTAGGAAAAGTTTCCCACTCCGCTGGAAAGCTGCCCCAATGCACCGAGCACTGCTCATCTCTCCTGTGCTCTGCTAGCTGACATCCAAGCCAACCGCGCAACACCGCGCATGGGCTGTAGTGTCTCTGCACGGTTCCCAGCTGGCACATCCAGGAGTTCAGAGAACACGGAGGGAGCTGAGCAGACCATTTTAAAAAAATCCAGACACATCTTTCAGTTAAGCAGGAGTTATGAGGATCTACTGCAGGCTCATCTGGCTCTGCTCACCATCCTCCAAACAAGGTGAAGGTATACGGGAAGGGCCTGGAGACTACTGCAATAATGCGTTCAGAAAAAACTCTGACTCCAGGGAGGTCTGAAGCCCACTAATAGGGTAACAACTATTACCCTCTTGTAGTTAATCCATTACTACGGGATGCCACTACACCTATCACAATAACAGCTCTATGAAGGACTTCAGTAACAACTGACTGTGACTGCTGCTGCGATGTCCAAGGAGGCAGAAGCAAGCTTCTGTTTTCAAGCAGGGATTACTTCTGCTCCCTAGCATGGGTGGTACTGCAGCTATACAGCTTTCACGACCCTGGCACCTGACACAACCTCCAACTCCTCATCGCCGAAAAGGACGGCTGCTTTTATGGTAATGTACCGGGCAGCACTGCTTCAGTTTTGGGTGTTAGTTTTGTGTGTCGAAAGTTATCCTAGCAACATGGAAATTTTCCCTTGCACAAGATACAAGCCGTTACTCTCCACAGTGCCATGCAGGAAGCTGTGTTTTGTTTCAATCCTAAGCTTTTAGACAAGTTTTTTTGTGAAAAGACAGCATGTTCCCTATGCAGCCCCTATGCCATGTCTCACATTGCCCCCTTTCAGGGTATTCTTGAGGAACTGAGAATGTGGCAGCAGGATTCAGAGGGGATAAATTCAGTGACATCATGCTACATTAGCGTTGGATACCAAGTGAATGCTGAAACTGCGAGAGATCGTGTGTCTTTGGTATCAGGCTGTAATGCCTATCCACTCCCTTCCCTTCCACTACCCAGAAACGAAGGAATAAAAATTAAGCCAGTGTATGAACGATCCCACAATTTACCCACAATTAGAAGAATTGGTATTAGCATATTTATAAGCAGAGTTATCTATCATTATCTTCTATCACAGGGTAAATGCTGAAACCTCCTGTCAAAGCTAGGTATTTGAAGCTTTCTTTGCAGAGAAAGCAGAAGAAACCAGCAAACATTTATACATATATGTACACACACCCCCCCTCCCATATATACACACACACATACAGTAAGTTGCCAGTGTAATGCACTATACAAGAATAATACAAATATCTTTACTGAAATCTATGAGCACAAAAGTTTTAAATTATTCTCATTTGTCTATCAAAGGTATACTTTGTCCTCAAGACTTCTATTATAAGCATGAAAGCACAAATAAGTGTGCAAGATGAGCTTGAAAGAATTATTGCATAAAGCACTCTTCCACTGAGTTGACCATGTTGGCATGCAAAGTGTTATTAAATACCACACAAAAATAAAAGCTGTCTCTAAGATATCTTGGCAGTATTCCTAAATGCTTAGCTGCAGAGCATTTATCGATCAGTAGTTAGCTACTGACTGCTAGTATTACTACCAGACACTTCAAAAGAGTCATTCTGTCCTTAAGAAACCCTGAAATTTCGCCAGTTGAGTTGCTACAAGCCACTGCTTAGGATAATAATTTCATAGACATTGACGGATCTGCAGGTCTGAGTAACTAGGGCCAGAAGCCTAACTAGTGTACACAGTACACACAGTGATTATCTTCCCACTGTCACAAACCACTCCAGGACTAAACCCAGTGACTGATTAATAGTGCAGAAGGACCACTGGACAAACAGGACGTCACCAGAAGTCCTCACCCCAAGCCACATCAACGTAACTGCTCACATGATACATGTAGCATGTAGGAGCCTGCGAGATTTCTGACAGCAGAAACCAGTTAGTTACACAATTACGAGTGTGTCTGCTATACAAGATTGTTCTCTCTTCTTAGGTCTGTTTCCTCAGAAAGAGACAGCACTCCCCTGCTACAATCCCGAGGATTTTTCCTGACGGATTTGCAACGGCCACAAGGGGTCAGGATTTTTACATCACTCCTAATCAGAAAACTGGTACCTTAAAACATGTTACAGCTTTCAGCTTCTGCACATGGAACCCAAGTGAAGATGATCTGCATACCTGTGCCCCTCACCACCACTTTCTCCATACCAACAGACCTTCAGGAGCTTGCCACCTACCCCACACGCTGAAATGCAGCAGGCAATACATGATACCGCTGCAGCGCAAGCAGTTACAGATGTAGCCTTTGGCTTTGTGCACAGCGATGGTCGTCTTTCATCATGAAAAAGTTACAAGCTAGTACTAAAAAGTTTTGTGGAAGAGCAAAAGGAGAAGAATGCTGTGATGCTTACAGGACTTACTTTTTTGGAGGAAAGCAAGAGAGTTTGGACTGGGTCAAAGTTTGGGAAAAGCTGTGTTTCTTCAATAATATGCATTCCATTTTCATAACTGATAGCTTTGTGCAGGGCTCCTCGATCTGAAACAAAGCAATATATTTAAGTAAGATCCTTAGAATAAAGGGGCAGGAAAAAAAATTGCACAATTGCTTTAAGTTATCTCAATAACCTGCACACTGTTCCAGCTGAAGGCTTCACACAACTCTGTGCCAAGGACAACCATTAAACTTATCATCATAAGGAGTTCTGAGCAAGAAATAACATTCTGGGACAAAGAATGACCACTTAGCGATTATCTTGTGTGTGTTTTGGCTGCACTGACTGCAGTTTTGCAGTTTTTTTCCTGCAATACTTGCAATGCCCCATCCCTGGAATTGTTTAAGGCCAGGCTGGATGGGGCTTTGCCCAACCTGGTCTAGTGGAAGGTGCCCCTGCCCATGGCACGGGTATTGGAATGAGATGATCTTTTGAGTCCCTTCCAAACCATTCTATGATTCTATGAATACTTTTTCACAGCACTTAAGATTCTCCTCTTACTCACCACGGCCCCTTACTTTTTAATTAAGACACCAGCTGGTGTAAAAGCACTGTAAATATGGAAATCTCCAGATTAGAACATACTTCAGCCTAAAGAATTGGTGCATCATTAAGAAAAAGCATTTTGCAGAACTCACCTGTACTGATGAACATAACATCATATATGGTGCCATTGAGCGCTCTGACTCTGTCTACCACAATCTGGGTATACTTCACATCTCGTTTCACTAGTCGAGGTCGGTCACCCATTGGAGTCACCGAGTCATCCATTAGAGGATGATCTTTAACAAACTGCAACGTTTTGTCTGGTAAATTCAGAGAACTCATGTAGTTTGATGCTCTGGCTTCATTGTTTATACACTGGGGGGGGCAGGAAACAAACCAAGAAAAAGACAATCAAATTTTATCATTTTCTGTACAAAACAGAGACAATTAACAGCAGCTATATGCATATTCTTCTCTGTGTTATTTTGGCCAGTAAGCACACCTTTACATTACACTCGTTCTAACGAGGAAGGTCCTCAGGTCTCCAAGCACTCTGCCTTCTGCAACGTACGAATCCCTGAGCTTCAGATTACATTTTCGTTTGGGCCCAAATTACATTTTAGGAAAATATTCTTTCTGGACTCTACCGCTTCTTAATTACTTTTAACTGCTACCTCACTCAGCAGTAGCAACAAGATGACTGAAGAGAACATGAGAAAGTAAGAGAAGTGTGAAAGAAACCCAGCACTATGAAAGTTTTAGTTTGCGGAGCAATGCACTGCATTGGATAAACCTACTGAATCTACTGAGACAATGTGACGATTGCTGTACTTCTGGTCATCTGAACATCTGAAATATTTGATGTTGCCTAGTGTACAATGACATCTATTTCACCACTAGAAAATTAGTAACAAAATAATGAAAAATTAGTAACAAAATAATGAATATACAAAACCAGCAAATAACTCAATTATAAAAACCCACTTTGAATCCCAGATACAAAGTTCAGAATAAACCACTTGAGTGTTATTGTATAAAGTCTTCACAACAAAAAGTATCCAGACCAGGGAAAACTAAAATTAAGCTTTAGGAGGTTATCCAATATTTTTTAGTTTCTTTGCTCCTGAGCATTAAAAGATTTAGTCGTCAGATCCAAGATTACAGAAACTTACGGCACCAGGTCGAGGATTAGGAATTTCCCCATTGTATCGAACCCACTTTGTATGAGACTGTTCTACTGTAGCACTCTGCATATATTTTCCTTTCGAGAAAACCTCTTCTACAGTAGACAGATTGTATGCACACACTGCTGACAGCCCCACATTATTCCTAAAAGTTCAGGAAGAAATCAAAAGAAAAAGATAGGAATAATTACAACTTGTCATAGTAACCAACCGAGATTAGAAGTACTTATCCAGGAAAAGGCTATACCACACTTACAGTTGTGGGGTGAAGACTCCATATATCACTGGTTCCTTCAAAGTTGGAGACTTCAGAATAAAAACATCATTGATAATATTGAAAATTAAGTTCTTATCAGGGATGGTACAAATCAGTCTGGCCTTGAGAAAGGAAGTCCATTTTTTCTGCAAGGTCCTTAATCCTCCTTGGTCCCTCTTTAGATATTAAAAAAATAAAAAGGTGTTTTGTGAGCAGAATTAGAGGCATATTTGCATTTCAGAACCATTGTTATACAACATGAAATTACTAAGCCCTTTTATTTTCTAACGTTTCATCTATAGCAACATCAATAAACGTTAACACCTTCACAAATACAAAAGTAAGGAAGCCACAGGAAAATCAGTTGATTCTACAAAAATAATGCAGAATCATTTCTATCAACACCTAGAGGTAAGAAAAGAGACGAGACTTATACAGAACCATACTTCAGCAACACTTGGAAAATTGAGATGAGCAATGTATTCTTAGAAAAAACCTGCTTTTTAGAACAAGTAAAATAAGCATGGAAGTATCATACTGTCCCTTAAGAGAAATTGCAATTATTCTGCGACATCTACATTGTGATTTAAATTCTAATGTTGCAATATGCACTTAAACTTGCCTGCCATTAATACCATTAGAAGAAATGCAGCAACGGCTTAATCCTGCAAGCAATTACCACTTTTATTAAGGATTTGCAGCATCAAGGCTTAACGAAGTAAAGAAATGTTGACTAGGAATGTTTAAAAATATTTGATACTTCAGTTGTAGATCTGTTGCTTCCCTTCAAAAAGCCGGCATATTTGAACATTATTTCCCAATGCTGTTATGCAAAGTATTACAGGAAATCTGCAGAATTTATGACAACAACTAAGTACAAATGCTTATAGATTTGCAACCTGCCATTGACTCCTATTTCAAACAAACAGCAGCAATAAAGCTCTCCTATTCTGTGATACTCCCCTTCTAAAGCGTGAACAAGCTGTCAGTGGGCAGAGGGCCATAATAATAAGCCTCATGTAAACCTGCCTCCAGCTGTTTGTTTAATGGAAATCTCAAGGGCACTAACTTGTTATTGATGTTTTGACTTCCATGTTTAAATATAAAACAGTAAAGTCAAAATAAAACATTTCAACCTCATCAAAATGAAACAGCTAGATAAATTTCCTGTTGGAAAAAAAAATCCTGAGGAAATTGATACATTCCATTGAAAAGGTTTTTTAGATCAACATTTTCTACTGGAAGAAACCACTTCCATCAGCAAGATTTTTAACTAACACTCCTGAGTATGTACTTGAATCAGCCTAACACATTGAGGTTCAAACACAGCAAGTGTGACAGAATCAGGCTGCTGGTGACCGTTTTCCCTGAGGCTCTGGCAGCTCCAACAGCTTCACAGAAGTCCCATCTGCTACACCACAGTCAAGAGCTACTCTGCTGTGGACACAGCTACAGTTTTGTTTGTATACAGCTACTTCAAAGTAACTTTACTAACATCCTATCCGCTCAGCTCCAACCAAAGTCTGTTCTTCACATGGAGCTGTACTTTAACAACTTAGAGTTTTTTTAAAAAAATAAAACGGAAATTTCTCTGTTGCTAGCTTTTATGGTGGTTGGGTTTCAGCCCCCCAGGGTGGACAGAACCCTCAGATGTGCTGAAATTTCACCAGTGTGCAAAATTAAATTAAGTACTTGTTCCTAAAGCAACAACTAGGCTTTCTCAGTTCTGAAGAACTGATTGAAATTACCGATTCACTAAGTTAGAACACTTCCATTTAATTGGCAATAAGTCCACAATAATAAACACTTTTTAACACACACACAAAATTCTAGTTGAATTACTAAAAGTAAATTGAACTATGTCCAACCTTGCACACTCTAGCTATTCTTGGAATCATCAGTTTTCCAACAAATTCGTACTCCACAGACACCTCAGTGAAAAAGAAATATATCTTGTCGTCTTCTCCATCTGTGCTGTTTTGATCTGCTCTAATCACATCAGCGAAAACAAAATTGGGCTCTACAGATGCAAAGAGAAAAATTTTATGTTATATATGCGACTAGAAACTTGATCCGCTCAAAACACCTTCGACGAGTCCTCTTTCGCCCAAACCTCACACTGCATTTACCTGCTCTCCAGTCACTGACCTGCCTACACAGTTTGCAGTTCATAATATGAATAGCATTTCTAAAAAAATAGAAATAGAGAAAAAAACAAAACTCCAAACCCTGTGTGAAAGCACCAAGACACCCACGAGATCTCTGTGGCCTGATATCTTGCTACTTCAATGGTCCTTAGTCCACATTCAAGCGTGGTTTTCCACTGGATCCGGAAAGGTACCCTCCCTTGCCTATGTCTATCTCAGCTGTTAGCTGAAACGCCAAAAATGACAGTATGATTACAACATGCATTAGAAAACACAGTATCCTGTACTTTCTGGACATAATGCATCTCTTTAAATATGCTAACTTCATGATTTTGGTCCTTTTTGGTAGAAAGCCACAAACCTCTGAGCATTCACAAAACTTGGTGAATTTTGAAATTCAGAAACTGAAATCATCAGAAACTATGATCAGCTCAATTTGAAAACCCGTTAAGAGACCAAAACCATTCTCTTCCTTACTGTATCGTAACTATGCAGCATTATTGCAAGAATGAGCAGGTAAGATATAAAATAAACTGCAGCCCTTCAACATCAAGTTGAAGTCTGTATGTCTTGAAGTGGTTTTCTTTGTCAATGCTGATAAAAATCCTGAAACTGCAAAATAAAAATCTCTTGATGGCACACATATGTCAGTATAATAAAACCCATTCTCTTTGAGATATTAGACAATTGCCCCTTATTCCACATAAGACTCTTAAACTCTTTGTCTGCAAGTGTGACGTTTAAGAAGGATAAACAATTTGGTTAGGCCAGTTCTCATGCCCACTTACCATTAAGCCAAGGTATTGCATACTCTGTTCTCAGAGGGCTCTGATGAGAGTGCCGTGAAATAATTGGTTCACTTCCCAAGAAATTGTAAGAGGTCCCAGAATAAAGCTCCTCATCTTTAACACAAAACCAAATATTTTAGACTTTCTTATGCACTGGATACCAAAAAAGGGTACACAAATATTTCGTGAGACTATGTGACCTTAAACTTCCCACAAGAAAAGATAAACAGGGATTTCCTCTAAATTGCCCCAGACATGTTCTCTATGTTTACATTTCTGCTGACCATTCTCAAGGCTAGCACTTCCACACTTGGGTTCGTTATTGCTCTAACACAAGCAACTGGCAAAAGTCAGCATTTTTTTTGTGGTACTTCAACACTTAACATGTAAACCTACAGTTTACGTACAAATGTGCAAATTTATTTAAGAAATGACACAAAAGTTTTGGAAGTAATTATTTCCCACTCTTTCTATGCCACTATTATTCAAACCCAACTTTTAAGAATTTAGGCAACAATGCGGGGAGGTGTTCTTTTCTTTCTCATTTCCTGTTTCATGTTACTTTGAGCTTCTCTTTTATGATTTTGTGACATCAGAGTGCAGCCATGAACTCTGGTTTCACCAAATGGAGATTCAGTGGTGTCTAGCCCTGCAGTACTATACTCGAAACAAGTATCTCACTTCCCTATTCTGTCTCATGGATATGTCTTCAGGACAGCTAAAAAAATCTACTTGTTAAATTTACTGAAGTGACAGTAATTGATATTGTAGAGGCAGTCAAAGTACACTTAGACTACCTGGATTAAATACGTTAAACACCTGAAAATATAGTTTAAAAATCAGTGTTTCAAAAGTTGCTTTCAAAAAAAAATCTGGAGTTTTAAGTTCTCCTTTTAAGAAACAGGCTAAGGTTGACTACGTAAGTATTTTAATGTCTATCTAGATATACAGTAGAGATGTAAAAATACAGATGAAATCTACCACTTTGATATTAAGAGACTGGAGAATGACAGTGGAAAGATCTAACATTTTTATACGCAATAATGAGGTATGCAAAGCCTGAACTTACCAACCATGACAGATGTGTAGCTTTGAGCAGGATCAAATGGACATCTGCCCTTACCATCTTCATTTTTACCTCCAAGTTCAAATGAAAATAAATTCTGCAAAAAATTAAGTTGAAAACCTCAAAACAACTGTTAGTGCAGTCATTTGACCCATACAAATCTGAATGAAAAATCAACACTAAATAACAGACTGTATCATCAACTTCCAGCATCACAGGCATTTTTTGTAAGACTATAAATGGCATATGTGTCTTTAGAAAATCTTATAGGGTCCAGTAGATAGAGAGGAAATGTGATCCTATGATTTGTGAGGGTGAGAGCAGAAAAGAACAGAAGATCAAAAGTTAAATTCCAACAGACCTCAAGAAAAAGCACCCCAAAAAAGGTCAGACAGTAGGAAAGGCAGAGAAGTTAATTGGTATACGGGAAGAGCTGACAATTATTGTATTAACCTGCAGAAAAACTGAGATATTTAGAAATCAAGAAGGCTTTCTGAAGTGGATTTAGCAATTATGTTAAATTTGTGAGATAGGGCATAATCCAACCGAATTTTAAAAAGCAACAGAGTACTCTAACTGCTACTTTATAAATCCCTTAAAAACCGAGGGAATAAGGATCAGGAAGACGATGGAGAACTGTAACCACAGTACTGGGGAACTGATCAGTTATAATGTGTAATGAAGACACTGGAGGGAGGCTAAGGGCAATGACTTCTGGCAATGTTCCAGAGGTGATGGCAGGCAGACTTGCAGGCAGGGAAGACAAAAAAGAACAAATAATTACAAGATTTCTCAATGTCAGAATTGTTAAGAGCCACAGTAAAGAAAACGATACAAGAGTCAGCAGTGAGAAAAGAGAGTTTTGATTTCGTGCCAAGACTTCACTCTGAAGCATTCAGCTCTATTAAGCTGTGGCATAGCCAGTAGCAGAGATAACACAAGAAGAGACAGAAACCAGAAATTTCAGGGAGATTTGGTAATGAATCGAAGTCGCAAAGAATGTAATTTCAGTTCTAGAAACCGTTTTTATGTTAACACACAACACTCAAATAATTATGAAACCTAAGAAAAAGTAAATCTGCAGTTAAACAAGACAAATCAGTAATTCAGTAATCAGTTTGAGAAAGGAACAGTACGCTTTATTTCCATACTCTGTAATTACTGTGGGACAGTGCAACAAATGCTCCAACAAACACCACTGAAATTGCAACAGTCTTCAGGAATGGGGATGAATTCATTGTTTAAATGAGCTGCTTTTAAGTTACAGTTGCTATTGGGTCAAAATGTATGTACATGCTTACCAAGTAATCGCATGTTGGCTGAAACGCGTTAGTTCCACACACGTAGAGAGAAGTATTGTTCAGCTGCTGCAAGACACGCACATAATTTCGACACTCTGTCTGTAATACAGGATGAGAAAAGGACCACTCTGACAAATCACAGCTTCCGCATTCCATCATAAAGAAACAATTAAAAGCTGTACTGTCAGCTCATCTGCTGCCGCTACTTGTGCCACACCACACCAGTAAGGCTGGGTGATGCAGTCACCACTGGGACACCATCTCCCTGCAGCCTCCCCAGGCTCTGGTCCTGCAGCACCTAGTTTCCTACAGCCAGTCATGCAGGGCTGCCTGGGTACCAACACGTACCACACATCCAGCAGTGTGCATCTCAAGTTGTTCCATGGAAGCACAGGCTCCAAAGACACATCCAGACCATGGCAAGGACTAGTTAAACATGGAGTAAGCTTTATAATTTGTCACCCCTCATAAGCCTAGATGAAACAGTAAGTGACCATCAAGGTTGTTTCTTACAAGAAAAACCTCAATACTATTAGCTTTGTCACTTGTATCTGTCTTTTTTTTAGTCCTTGATATCAATTGCTTTTTCATCCAAGGAAGCTTCTTAATTCCTTTGGCTCAGAAAGAGAACAAGGAGTTTGAGCAAAGCCTTGAATAAAGGATACCATAAAGTTTCAGAATAATAACCAAGAAAAGCAACTCTAAACACCCGCTGTGAGAGAGGTAAAAAACCAGTATCAACAACAACACCTCTTAATTCTTGCTAGTACACAGCCAGATACCACCACTGTACTGTAGTTCCATAAGCTACTCAAGCAAGTATAAGCACTGTCCTTAGTCTTCCTTCTTATGAGCCAAACCGGGTCTTTCTTTGACTGTATGATGGGTTCAGTATGGCAGAAAACTGGGGCAAAAAAAGAGCAAAACCAGTTTTCTGCCAGATGAGGTCCTCAAACAGCTGCATAAATTATTTTTGCTGGCACTAGACAGCATAGTGGTGATGGGCCAGGGAGAGGACTGCCTATTTTAGTGTAAGAAATAGAAGTAGTGACTTAGTACCTTGACACTTTAAAAACTATTGCACTGTGAAAAACATCATGGCTACAACATAAATATAACCAGTAAAAGTTTATGAGTAAAGTCAGGAAAAAGAAGGCTGGCGCTAAGTGTGACTTGCTAAACTGGGGGCAGGAGGAAGAGAAGTTTGGAGCTCTGGCAAAGTACCTATTTATGGGGTCTAACATCCCTTCCACCTAACAACAATAATCTCTGCAGAAGACTGGCAGAGATGCACACTCTGTCTGCTAAACTCTACGCACATGATAAATTCACATCTGTCATTCATCACGGCTGTATGTCAATACCACTGCTAGTAACCCCAGCTGAACCTGGACATCACAAATAACACTCTCTGAGCGCACCCTGAAGAGGCAGACAAGGAGGAAACGGCCCTTAAATACCCGCCACACCTGGCGTTAGAGCAATGTATTGATGGTCACAGTGGAAGGACAGGCAGTACACTGAGCCGAGGGAGAGGGATGATAGCAGGATATCTGTCAGCCCTGGACACAGCACAGAATCACAGAATCACAGAATAGTAGGGGTTGGAAGGGACCTCTGTGGGTCATCTAGTCCAACCCCCCTGCCGAAGCAGGGTCACCTGCACCTGGGGTTTTACAACAGTGTGAACCACAGAGGGGAGCAGGTTCGGAGGTGCAGATCTCAAATCCCTGCAAGTCGAGAGTAGGACTGCTTTCTGCATTCACAGGGCTTGCAGACTTCCACCTGCAAACCCCTGCGAAAACCCTGACCATCCGTCTCGCCCAGCAAACCGTCGCATCACCCCATCACTCCACGAAGTGGCACTACGTGAGGGGAAAGCTCCATCCACATACAGCCAACCACCTCAAGCAAACCGCCGCCACAGAAAGGCAAAAAGCAGCAAGCCAGCCTGTGCGCCGGCAGTCACGCAGAGTCCGTGGCTCCCAGAAAGACAGAGGGACCCCCAGGGCTGGGCTGCCCACGCTGGGGAGCTGGGAGGAGGTCAGGCTGCTCAGGTGCTGGGGAGCTGAACGAGCGGCCACACCAGCGAGGTGCTGCCGCCGCACGGCGCATGCCAGCTCGGCCCCACAGCGAGGGCACGCGCGGTCGATGGAAAACACACCGGTGGAACAGCATTGGCCTCATGAATAAACCCTACGCCCGAAAGCAAAGCAAACAAAACCATCAGCCATTTTGTAAAGTCAAACGCTAGGGAAGAATTGCTGCAAGAACAGCAAAACACAACAGCTGCTGACAATTACCTCAGTGAAAGTAATACTGGTCCGCCATTTTAATGGAAAAACTTGTAACATTAAGCACACATCAGGGTACGTTCAGATTTTCAAATGTTCAAATAATATTCACCAGGAAGAAATAACGAGCTAAGAATTCAAAAAGTAGACTAAGCATGCTGCAGTTTCTAAAGCTCAAGTTAATTAAAGAATTTAGGTGATTATTTGAAAATTCAAATTTCAAAGTTACAGCCTTTCTTCTTTTAACATCACTCCTCTTGAAGTGAAATGTATAACATCCTTCTCAAAGTTCAATAAAACTACATACCTGTTCTGATTTGCCCTTGACTGCACATTTAGTCCTTTTATCTTCGGTGACCTTCCAGTGCAACTAAGTGAAAAACAAGCAAGAAAATGCCACGTTCAAAGCACTTTAATTCAATGCAATGTCTCAAAATCTTGCAGTAACAGACAAAAAGGGCAATCCTAAGACTATCTGCAGCAAATGCAAGCCATTTCGCAAGCAGCTTTCAATGGTTCAAAGCCATTCTTTCCTGGGGAGGTGACACTTCAAAATGCATGCGCCTCAAGGAGGGCTAAACCGCTGCTATTATCTTTCAGGTTCATCCATGTTTCCCCTAAAATCGCTAATGAAGTTGCCATTACCACATGCATTGGGGAAATGCAACTGTAACTGTTTTAAGTACTTCTCAAATTTAAGTACGTCTTCATTTCATTCACACTTGAATGAAAAACACTGGGGTGGGGGGAGATCAAAGAAATCTTACTTGATCAGTTTACACCACACAGAGAAGTACAACTTTGACAGTGCATGCACTCATAAAACCAAAACAAGTTTTATATGCTGGTGAAATTGCCCATCACCACCCGTGAACATTTCGTTCAGATTAAAAATCATATAGGCATCTTCCAAAACATCCTGGGTGGGACTCCACGCCGTGCCTCTGTCAGCTCGTGCTACTGACGGGATGAGACACAGGTGCCTGGAAAGGCCTTGAAGCAACACAACGTTAGCAGACTTCTGCACGGGCTATCTACTCTGAGAATCCAGTGTCAGCACATTCAGAGTACTCCTCTGAGCAGGCTGCATCAGACCTGTCTGCACCACTGCTTGCTGTGCAGACACACCTAGAGACAAAAAACAGAAGCTGAAACCGAAAGGACAGGGTTCTCATTTCATCTGAAATGACCTCTGCAGCTTGCCACTCCTGATGTTTCGGATTAGATTACCTTCTGATTTAGATTAACAGGAGATGGCCCACTCCCAATAATAAAAATATGTATAAGAACCAGCATTGCAGATGATACCCGAAGTCCCTCCAGTTCAGCATCCTGTCTTCAAGAAGAAAATACCTAAGGAGACCTGTAATTACTTGTTTGTATCCAATTTTCTTCCTCTCATCTGATAGCATGTTTTACTCTATAGTGTCTACCAGCAATAACACAGAAGTAGCCCGCTCAAAAGTATTTTCTCTTTTAGCTACCTACCACCTACAGTGCAGTGCTACCGATACCAGGAAATTCAGTCAAATTTGTTGTATGGTTTTTAAATGGAGAATGATGTACTAAAATGCATACCTCGTGTTGCTTTTCAGCAATATTCATTGTGTTTAATGCAAAGATCACCTCTCTGGCTCCCACATACAAGACATCTTTGTCTTCACTTAACAGCAAGGTTGAATAGTTTGACACTTCTGATTCATGAAAATGTATTAGCTGGACCTCTGTTGAAACGAAATTAAAATAGTACCACAGGAAGAAAGACGATCACTTAGGGTTGACTTTAAGGGTCATTTTTCCAAGTTGTGTAACAGCTGTTGGATATCTTGAAAACAACAAAGGTTTAGTTTGGACAAGCCATGTAACAGACAAGAGACCCCTCAGAAGCCTGTTCAGCAGAAACAGCAGCTCCCATCAACAACATGAAAATCACCGGTCCCCACTTTCTTGTTCCACTTCAAATGCCTAAATATTTCTTCTTGTAGTGAACCCTGTAATTCACATCTTTGTTTTTTTTATACCTGTTAATTCCCTTTTTTCTAACCTTCCACGTTACACATCCAGTATCAGGTCCTTCCTCACCTTCTCCCTTCTACATACCCACCTACCATGGAAATCAGGTCCATTTACACCACGTCCCTTGCAACTGTCCCAGACAATCTGACAAAAAATCCTGCACCCTAGAAGACGACACTTCAGCGTACTACCCTAGCAGAGACAAGACACATAAGCTAAAAAGGAACCATTTACAGAGGGTCAATAAGCTGATTTTGAAGTGGAGAGGAGATACGAAATGCACATGATAGAAATCACATGAGGTAAAACCCAAGATTAAAAGGAAGAAGATGAGAGAAAGAGTGAGACGTGGGGGGAAAAGCAGTGGAATGGGGAAGCATATAGACTGCAGCATAATCTCTTGGAGAAAGATGACACAAAATGACTAACATACAAGAATATTTTTTCTGCATGTATAACCATAATGGAAAAAAATGACTGAAAGCTTGGGAGACCATGGTTTGTGCAAGTGACTACCACAAGATTAATTAAATGTGGCTTTTTAAGATACAAGCAGAAAACAATGTAGTATTGCTCCTAATTCTAACATTAGAAGTTGCACATTTTTAACTGTAACACTCCGGAAACATTCACTTTGAACTAGATTCTCAAGCATATCATTTTAAAATCTTTTACTTGGCAGGAAAATCTTCTCCAAATGGATGAACTGGTTCATTCAACTCCACATGTTCATTCCTCCACTGAACAAAATCTCCCCTCCTACTCAAAGCAGGCTTCCCATATTTAAATGCAACAATCTTAGGAGACAGAGACAGGGAGAAACAGGAGGAATGAAAATAAATTCCATTTATTTTGAGGAATTTGGGTGTGGTTCTGCTGTGCATTACCTTAATACCATTAAATAGCAACTTGCTAAATTTTAACTATTATACCAGACAGGAGCATCAAGGAGCGTAAGCAGTAACTACAAGCCTTGTCTAGACCATTCTTTCTGAAAAGCTACATCAGCAACTCACTAATTACTATACCAATAAACAGAAAAACCACTTCCTACAGTCATCTCATAAATCAGCTTATTGTTACTACATTCTTAATCTCCATCTATCTTTTCCTACACTATGACTGCTCATATGAATCCTTATTTAAGGCTGCTTCTCTGCACTGCCCATACACTTGTTTGGTTTTGTTCCGTTACAGCACACTTCGGTAAAAAGTCATTTGTAACTAACTAGTAGTTAAGGAGGACCCATACATAAAACCTTGTAAAACCTAAAGCATTCATGCCACATGGAGGTAGGGGGGAAGGATATTCACAAACAGCAGCAAGTAACTACTCTATAGTCCTCGCTCTAGAGTTCCCTTCAGACATAGAGTAAATAATTAAAGCAAAAGGATTATCTGATCCATATTACTTCTCTTTGTGTCATATTTGCCAACTCCTGCTAATTGTATCAGGGAGTTCTGAGTATTTGCTGCAACTTCAAATACAGGGAAAGTGGTGTTCTGTGAAAAAGATTGTTTCAACTCTAGGCACCATATAATGCTGTCAGAAGAGGGCCAAATGCTTGTCTTTCCTTCACCTGGTGATTTATTTAGTGCACAGGATGGCTCACTGTCAAAATACATCTCAGTCTGAATAAGCATAAAAAAGATTTGTAGCTGGAGAGGTGCATTTTACTAATACGTTCAGACTCAAAGTAAAAATAATTTGATTAAAACAAAATACAGCTATTGGGTTCTTCTCCTGAAGCAAGCTTCAGCTGCAAGATTCTTCAGCTGAGAAAGCCAAATTCCTCCTATGTTTTCAGAACTGCTTGAAAGATCTGAAATCAGTTAACCCAGTGCCTGAGCCACTTTTGAATATTCTGGTCCTAAGTACTTCCTAACCTGAGCAAAACCAGCAACACCCAGCCAAACTTGCAGCACGCAGGCTACAAGAACACACACATCCCACAGAAACCCCGAGGTGGTGGCCATGCCCTGTATCACACTACTGAAGTTTCTCCTCTTACCTCTGTGTTCCCAAGTGATCCTTGGTACTGGGCCAAATGCTGCTGCCACTTCCAGTAACAAACCCCAAACTGCATAAAAAGCACACCGGGCCATCTTCAGTGTCTTTGCTCTTCAGGGCTCCTTGGATAACTGTGGCAGGTAGCGTTTCCTCGGCAGCAGAAACGCAAATCCCGGGGAGTATTAGAGACCAGTCATTTCAGACCTTGAGAGCAGTACAACAAGGCAAACTGGAACAACTGTACACGTACACGCTTCTCAGCAGATCACTTCAAGGGAACGCACATTTTCCAGGATGCTGCGTACAGAGACTGCCCACACTCTCCACATGCTGCAGAGCTGCTTAGAAGCACGACTGAGCACATTCTTCTGTTTTGTTGCAGAAATATATGATGCTGTGGAGAGAGGAGGGGAGCAAGAAGTAGAAGAGAAAGTAAACTGAGCACCAAAAATGTCACGCTGTATGCACTGATCCTGCAATACTTCTACAGCTGTCTGCATAGCTTAATTTGGACAAAGAGTGCATTAATTGGTGAAAATATGATTCTTAAAAACAAGCCACACATTACACAGCAGATAGGCAATAACTGAAAGCAATCATTTCAACATAGAATGCCAAGTATAAATATTTTGAACTGTCATTTATGTTTAATGCACAGAATTTGACTCTAGTTTACATACTTTCTTACTTTTAATAATGAGTCGAAGAACATCCCACCTCTCTGATAAGTGATAAACCAAGATAACAGGTATCACTACGGCTAAGTTCAGAGCGCAAAGGACATAAAAAGTGCAGCATTAATCTTAAGCATTGGTTACACAAACCTGCCACACCTCCCATCCTTAGGATCTTACCAGCAGAAGTGTCATTTTTAGCACAGCCTTTTCATGCCACTAATGCATTCAAGGTGTGGGGTGTAGAAAGAAATACAGCTACGGAAACAAAGAGCTAACGTACTGCATAAAAAAATAAAGGGAGAACATGCATAAGTACCAAAACTGCTAGACGGTCCATAATCTAATATGAACCTGTTTTTATACAACACAAGGGGTAGATGGAGCTCAAAAAAAAAAGGCCCAGACAATGGCCTAATTTCCAAATTATTTCAGCTCCATCAATGTTCACTGGCTTTGATTAGATCTGAGTGCTTCTCATTTCTGAAAAGCTAATGCTTTCGGTTTTACTCCTAAAAATAAGCCACAATTTGCTTGAAAACAAGAACATTTAAGAAGTAAAACAATAAGAAACTTCAAACAGTTATATAATTAGACTAACTAAAAGTGACCACAGGTCTACTTTTCTGTAAAACTGATGAAAATTTTCTGAGGTAAATTTAAACCAGTAAATTTAATTTAGGCACTCTGCTGCTGATGATTTTAAATTAATGTATAATGATGAAATGGAGCAAAATAGTGCGTGCACTACTTGCATGAGTTTTCCATAGTGCTTGTATTTATGGTGACTAAAACCAGGGCAATTATGGAAGATGAAATGATCAGCAGAGCTCCTGTCAGTTTGGCAGAGCACAGCTGGAAATCTGGATCTGTGAACATTCCCATTGACACGTATAATTTTAGTGCACAGGAGGAGAAACGGGAAGTGGTAAGTTTTTGCTCTCTCAAAGGACAGGAAGTTAAAACTGTTAGAAAGAAAAACTTCTGGCTGCCTACGTGCTAACAGGGAACACTAGCACAAATTATGAAAGCACGGAGTTGCAATGGCATATCTTGACTGTTACCAAGCTCAAAAAACATCTGGCTCTCACACCACCCATGTCAGTGGGCATCAAAGAAACAGTGCTCCAGTCCACCTACTGGAAAAATGCAAAATATAGCCCTGCAATCGGAGAAGCTGAAAAAACAACGGGAACAAGAATGCCATCTTTCCCATCCTCCAGGATACAGGGACAAAGTAAGCACAAAGAGTTATTTGTGAACATAAAAATTTATCTTTCACAGATGTCAATTCAGCAGCTTTTATCAGTACCAAACTAATTTGTTTGATAAATAATAAAACAAAGAATCAAGAACCCAGAGGTCAGTGTCTTCTTCCCTGGTCAGCACAGTAAAGCTGGATTCAGGTGCATCTTGTACACATTGATACTTGCATAAGCGATCTAAATTCTGGAATCTCAAAGTTAGGAAATGTCCAGTTTTGCAACCCTGGTTTTGAAATATTTTTTTTCTTCTAACAAACACTTAGTTGAAACTTCTGAATTGCTTAATGGTTCTTTCTTTATCTTCTCTATGAAGGTTAAAACCGTACGAGAATTTACTGACGCACCCGCAGCAGTCAGCATTATAGCTAGGATCCTTGCAATCCCCAAGGAACGATCGTTAGCATCACAGACTATCCAGCCCCTCCCTGCAGAGAGCCAAACGGGCACTGGCCCTCCTGGCATCATCCTGTCACTCTTTTCAGGACTATCAGGTTATCTTCTCATGCAATCCACCACCTACTCTGTGCTTATGCTCCCACCGCCGCCTCCTCCCCAACACAAGCAGTGCACAACTACTCGACCACAGGTGATGCAAGCCCCTGTGAGGCAGCCAGACAACAGCCCACCTTCCTTTGGGCTAGAAGGAAGATCTTCTAATACACATGCTTCCCTACCTCTTCATGAAATCACTTGCACACCACTCACTGTCCAGGCACAGCAAGGGAGGGCCTCACAGTAAGCGACAACTGACTGCAAGGTGCCCTCCCTTCCCACTGTCAGCAGCAAAAAACCACGGCAGGTTTCTGAGGCAGCCTACCCTGCTTTCACTAGATTAAAGAAAAGTATGCATCTGTAAAACTTTAAAAGTTACTACGATGAGGGACATGAAACACAACATGCAGAGACAGGCAAATATACGAGTGAATTGCTTCCTCCAGCAGAAAAGGGGAGGGTTAAAGGACTCATCTGTCAGAGGACATAAATTGTGAGTTCTCCCAAAATAACTTTCTTCAAAGGCTTTTGAAAGCTTTAACAGAATACAGTCCTGCTTAAATGTTTATTGATGCCTATTTGATAAAAGATTTTAAGGCTTTCTTCATACATGAAAAAACAAACCACAGAACTCCCACCATGAGATTTTGCTTAAACCTGATTTTTTCAGTTTGCCCAAAGTTTTGTTTCCAAAACCAGAAGAAGTTATTAATGGTTGTATTTTAAGTAATCAAAATGACACAGTAAGAAGCATACAATTTACCTTTGACAGCTGAGTTTTATTTACACAGAGGGTTTATTTTAGACCAGTAAGGACAGGCTGGATATATCCTTTGCTTTAGTTCTCACCCTTTCAAAACCTCAAGCACAGTGCCGTTTTTAGACTGTCTCATGAAAAACAATTTTTCCAATCTTTTTCTTATTATACAATATGTATGGACTCATCTTCTGCTGAGGTAAGTTAAAGCCTCAAACTAGCAGACCAATAGCCCTTTATGACTAACATACATGTAGAGCATGGGATTATTTACATTTCAAACTGTAACCAAAACACTTTGTAGTTGCTAGGCGCTCACAAATGAGATGAAGCTTTTTAAGATAATTTGATGTGGTCTTTACCTCCACCACAAAGCTTGCTGGAGGAAGTGCACTAGTGCTAAAAGAGGATAAAAATCCCGAGGAAACTGAAATTCTCAGTTTTAGGCTGATACCTTCTGTGAAGACAAAAATTTAATATTTTCCTGATTCTGCACGATAAATATGCCATCAAGTAGTACTCAGGAAACCCTGAGCTTAAAGCAGAGAATATTTATAATCGTCAGTGGAATAATTGAAGAGATCCTTTTTTTTTTTTAAACTCACATTCCTGTTCTTTGCTATCATGAGCTTTTTCAAGGGGCAAAGATCACAAGAAGACAAAGTATTATGCCAGAAAAACCTCCAAAGATTACAATAAACCAAACAGGAGATTAAAATTCTTATTTTTCAGATTACTATGGGTGGCTTGTTACAAGTATCATGATAGCCTTCAATTCCAAAGAGCAACAGCAAAAAGCAAACAGGTTTGCTTCTGCTCGCTTTGTCTTTTTTTTAAGAAAAAGAAAGCTAACTCCGGCCCTGGACAAGTTGACCTCTCAGCTATCAGAGGCTGTAGACATGGTCACGGGTCCTTAGCCTGGCTGCATACAAGCAAACTAAACAAAAATTATTAACCTAAGACTACATGGATGATCAGTGGGACCCAGCCACAGCTGTACTGCCAGCACCTTCTGTAACTTGGATGTTGAGGTATGCCAAATCCAGAATTCAATAGCTGCCCAGGGCGAGAGGTGTGTTCTAAGATCCTTCTCTGCCTCACTGGGTTCTCCCAGATATTGAACCTGGGTTGTAACGGTATCAGTGCTGCAGTGAAAACTGTGCACATGACCAAGAAATAAAGTCCCAAGTTCATCTTCCCCTACCACTTAAACATATTCTCACAATAAAATAAAATATTGCTCAGCTTCTTCCTCATTTCTTCTTGGGCCCATAGGACTGAGTCAGCCATTCAGTTATCTGAAGGCAACTAATGGCACTCACAAAAGTACCCGAGTGTCTAAACTAACAGACACACATACTTTTAAAAAAAAAACAAAAACAAAACTATCCTAGGTGTCCAGCAACACTTTCAAAGATACAAATGCAAAGACACAAAAGCAAGCCCAGTACTCCCTCAGACACATTAACTGTGTAACACTGGAGAGCTGCAATCCTGAACAGGGCCCTTCAGTGTTAACTGAAGCACAGGTAAACATACAGTATGATCCTAAAAGAAAAAAGGCTCTTTTCTGATAAGTTTCTGGAGAAGTATTCTGGTCTTCAAGCAAAACAAAGTGGTAAATCGAGCTTATCATTAAATGCTTATTTACGTTTTTCCATATGAATTAAGCCTCCAATGTTCTTGCAGTGTATTTCTTTGTGTTACTAAGACACCTGTAACACAGCCACCACGAACTCACCACAGCCCCCCTGCTGCAGGGGGTTACCTTTTGTTTCACTGTACATACCTGCTGTCCCTCAGAGCCTCCCACACACCCTTGGTGCTGGCGAGCTGTCAGAAACACGTCCTTTCTGCAAAGAGATAAGAAATCGGGTTTGACATCATTACGACATAAACCCGAAGCG